CAGCGCTCCCACAACACACGAGTATCCCAGCAGCGCTCCCACAGAACACACACGAGTATCCCGGCAGCGCTCCCACAACACACGAGTATCCCAGCAGCGCTCCCACAGAACACACACGAGTATCCCGGCAGCGCTCCCACAACACACGAGTATCCCGGCAGCGCTCCCACAGCAGGGGCGCGCACCTCCCGCCCCTCTGGCCTCGCCAGCCCCCGCGGCTCCGGCCCCAGGCGGGGAAGCTGAGGCCGGGCACGCCCCGGTGCCGGTGCGGAACCACCGCGGAGGGCGCGGGCGCGGGCTCGTGGGTGACACCGGTAACGACTGGTGGCTTCCTGGGGATGGGAGCAGCGCTAAGAAATGCTCTCATCGGCAACTTTTGTAACGAGGATAGTACAGGTGTCAAAGGAACCATTGGTTTGCTCCGTGTCCTTTTTTTATTAAAATTACTTTCTGATTCTTTCGTGCATGGCTTGCAGATTCAAACATTTCATGTGTTACAAATTTGTCCTTCCCAGAGGGCTTTTCTGTAGTGCGTTTTTTTAACATGTAAGAGAGTACAAAAATGATTTTCCGTAGCATTTTCTCGTCTGTTGCTCCTTTCCTTCGGCTCTACGGTAAGGGAGCTTAGGGCCAACTTCACAGTCTGTACTGAGGGTGCTGTCCCATCTCATTACGTACCCCGGAGTTTATGTATGACTGTGGAGATAGGCACACATTCCCTTCACTCCCAAGCTGCATACTAACGTAATGCCATGAGTCCACGCTTCAAGGTGGGCTGACTGACGTGGTTGCGCTCAAATGAGCTGTGTGACAGCCTGTCTTTTATTTTTAGTCCCCTAAAGCCCCGCTTCTGGGACAAGACGAGTAGCTGCGAGGGCTCCTCCCGCAGTAGGGCCCGGCCCGGCCCGGCCCGGCCGCGCATGCGCGGTGTCTCGGCGCGGCCGTGGCGCGGCGATGCGCGGGGCCGGGGCGCTGCTGGCCCTGCTGGCCCCGCTGGCTCTGCTGCCCGTCCGCGCCCCCGCGGGCTCGGCCCGCCGCTCCGGCCGCAGCAGGTGGGCAGGGGACGGGCACCCGCCGCTGGGGCGCCTCCCGGGACACCGGGCCCGGGCCCCGGCGGGAACTGCGGCTCAGCTGCCCGGGCTTCGCTGCTCTGAGGCCGCGGCCCCGGGGCACCGGCACCGCGCAGCGCTGGGCCGGGGGCTGCGAGAGGACACCCGGGGCCGGCACCGCGATGGCCCGGGAGGAGCGCGGCTCGGTTACTCCGCGATGAGGCCGCTGGCGCTGGGAACTGGGAGGTCCGGTCGTAGTAAAAGGAGCATTTACGATGGGGAGACAGTCCAGCAAGTACAGACCGCGAGATTCCGTCAGTGAGGAGGATGGTTTCGGCTATTGCAGAGTAAAATCTGTCTTCGCAGATTGCACTTAGGATGAGAACCGAGAGCAGCTGTCATACATGGACACTGAATTTTTTTACCACTTTTTCGTCCAGGGACTTTCAGAGTGATTTTTGAATATAGTAATAGAGAGGCTCCACAAAGTTACTGCAATGACGAGAGGCTTTCTGTAATTGATTATCAGTGCAGATTGTACAACAGCACATCTAAACTGATGAAAAGTAATACTGTGTTCTGTTGCTGGCATTAATATAAAATAGGAAATTTTGCAAGAATAGCCTATTAACAGTTTACTGAGTGTGGGGGGCTTGTCTTTGCAGGTCTGTGAGTCAAGTGTGTGTGGAAAAGTCACTCATTTTCAGAAGTAACACCCCTTATCCTACAGACATTATTGCTGTCCCTGGTGGACACGATCTGTTCTGTGTGCAGCTGAATGACTGTAAGTAACCTTTCTTCATACATCATTCGTTCACAGATTGCCTCTGCTTAGGGAATCTTTTTTTTAAAAAACTGATATGTTATAATTGTTACTGATTATTTTGGCTGTTCCAGAGGGAGCATAGTGATCACCAAAGACAAGCACAAAGATGATTGCACTCCGTGTAAGGGCAGGGTTTCTGGCTAAGCACAAATCAGCCTTTATCAATTGCTTGTGTATCTGAGATACTTTACTCAGTTTGCTACACTTAGAGCAGCAAATAAGGATGTTTGAAATATCCCACTGTTATCCTTTTCAGAAATTGATTTCTTTCTGTATTTTGTATTCTTTATTATACGTGCTTATTTTCATCTTCTCATCTGGCAATGATTTTTTTACTGGTAATCATATACTCTTTTAGGATATGCCATTAACACGCTTTTCCTCTTTTCCACATTGTATTTCATTTGACTGATTTGATGTCCAACTCTCTGGCATCTATTGCTGTTCAGTAGGGTCTCACATTTGAACACACTGTTTTCTCTTTTGAGTCATTTTCTGGGAGTTTTGACCCACAGTCCCAGCTACTTCTGACCTAAATCCATGAGCATTTTAGGTTGGGTGGGGCTCAGGAGGTTAACAGGTACAACAACTAGTCAGAACAGGGTTAGTTTCATACTATCTAGTCCTGCTTCTCAGCTCTTTACAGATGCTGCCTGAATGTTTTGTGTCCATTCAGAGCACAACTACAAGTGTTTTCTTTTTCAGTTTAATGATTATACCCTCAAGTGATTATTAAGCAAGGTACTCTGTGCACCTACTTTTGTGAACCTTGGAGGAGCTTAATATTGCTTTGACTTTTATCTCCTTCAAAGGATTACTTGACTGCTTGATTAATGCTGTATTCAAAAGCTTTTGTTTCTGCTTGCTCCACTGTTCCTCTGAGCATCTGCTCTGCCCTTAAACAGCAGAATTACACTGAAAGCTTGTTTGGTGGTTTTTTTAATGTATGGTTTTTTTCTCCAAACCTACTAGATTACTTAAATTCTTTTTGGTACTACTGTAATTGAGAATACTGACACTTGTCCTGTTGTCGGTAGGATCTGTGGTCCTCGAACCTTGTAAGATGTTTTATTTGGATGTATTGAAAAGTTTATTGTTCAAACAAACACATTGATGAGTCTGCATAGCACATCTTTAATAATTTGCCACTTTATAACAGTGTTTTGGCAACAATAATTTAATACATTACAGCATTGTAACCATACTATTAAATACCACTGGGTCAAGAGGGAATCACGGTGGAAGACCTTTCAAAAGTCTGGTTTTTAGGATGCCTATTGTCTATTTATACTTACTTTTGAGTTTTACCAACCTTAATTATTTTGAATCCATTTAATGTCACTTTTAATGATCTCATAAATTGGTAGTGCTTTGTAATTAAAATGTCATGTGTGTCTAATTTGGGTATCTCACAGAAATGACAGCACATGTTAGAATAGTTGTAAAGCAGTTTTCATGCTTTCTGGAAAGTCACTTCGTGTATTAACATCTGTTAATCATGAACAGTACAAACTACTCAGGATGTCATCCTATTCCTAGACCATATTAGCCTGTTAGAAGTGTTAAGTTGGGTTAATTAATATAAGGTACCATCTAGCTTATAATTACTGAAGCTGTTCCTTTTAAAAATGTTGGCACAATATTAACTTTTATCTTTTCTAGTAATTTGATATTGGCAGATTTCTTTTTTTTCTCTTTTCAAACTCTAGCAAAGCTGAACTATTTCCAACAGCCCCAGGATATCAAAGAATCTGATTTTATGAAGTTCTTAGAGAAGTATGGCAGACACTCTTTCATAGCACCATCACAAGTCCAGCCATCATTCTCTGCTTTTTACCGCGTGAGTTGAAATCATAATCAGTTTGTACATACACTTCTACTAAAGCTGTCTGATGAGATCTAATGACAACAGATTGAAAGAGTCTTACTTTTGTACCTGTAATCCATATTATCACAGAATTGTAGCGTATCCTGAGTTGGAAGGGACCCACAAGGATCATCCAGTCCAACTCCTGGTCCCGCCCAGTGCACCCAAACAATCCCTGAGAGCGTTGTCCAAACGCTCCTTGAGCTCTGGCAGCCTTGGGGCTGTGACCACTGCCCTGGGGAACCTGCTCAGTGCCCCACCACCCTCTGGGGGAAGAGCCTTTTCCTGAGATCCACCCTGACCCTCCACTGGCACAGCTCCAGCCATTCCTTTGGGTATTGTCACTGCTCACAGGGAGCAGAGATTGGTGCTGCCCTTCTGCTGCTTTGTGAGGAAGCCGGAGACCCTGATGAGGTCTGACCTCAGTGTCCTCCAGGCTGAGCAGACCACGTGCCCTTAGCTGCTCCTCATATGGTTTCCCTTCCAGTCCCTTCACCATCTTCGTTGCCCTCCTTTGGATGCTCTCCAGTAGCTTTAAACCTTATGATGTGGTGCCCAAAACTGCCCTCAGGGTTCCAGGTGAGGCCACTCCAGAGCAGAGCAGGACAATTCCCTCTCTCAACCGGCTGCTGATGCTGAGCCTGATGCACACCAAGACAGAGGTGGCCCTCCTGGCTACCAGAGCACACTGTTAAAGTGTTTGTTTCTCAGTTCTTTTCATTCCTTGGTGTATAGAAAGTTCCTGATTAGTTTTTTTGTATTTAAAAGGTTGGACAACCTTTTAGACAAAGCTGAGTGTACACAAAGAAGAGGTATAGATTTGTCTCTTTGCCCTGATGATGACATCACCTTGTGTTCCACAGTAATTGTGATTTCTCCAAACTGTCTTTTCAGGCTGGTGATCCAATCCTAATCTACTTCGATTCATCATCTGTACTGAGCACGCTTAGACAGCCAGTAAAAATGGGAGCCAGCGGACTTTGTGTTGATGGAAATCCTGCTGGTTAGTAAAAGGGGAGGAATATCTTAGGGTGATTTGCTTCTCTTTGATCTGTTGTCATGTCTTAACTCAGGCTTCCTGGACAGTAAAAGTACAAGCTGTACTCGGATTTTTGCCAATTTGAGCAAGAGCTGCATGACTGACCCTGCCCTCGACGCTGCCTCTTACTACCGGGATTTCACTGTGCTGAAGGTGCATGTCAGATTTCTTGCTTTTGTGCAAAATCATGGTTGCTTGACTTTGCATTGCTTTCCTCTGCAACTTCAGCTAACTGGAAAACTGAAGGTCATGTAGTGTGTCCTCCCTGATCTCCCAGTTGTTGAGGCCTTCTTGCTGGGACACCTGCTAAAACTATTGTGATTGGTGATAATCCTTCAAACTACTTTCAAGTAAATTTCAGTTATTAGCAAATTATTAATGGGTTTAACAGGTGCTTCACTGATACTTCGTAGTTTTAATGGTTTATATAGACTCTCTTGCATTTTAAACAGACTGTTGTTCAAAGTATTCCTTTCTGTTCTATCAGCTTGATCAACCAAGTAGTGCATGTACTCAGTAAAGAATGAGGATTTGTTTTACACAATATGTTACCTCTAAAATCATATGGAAGGCCACTTATCAATATTAGCTCTGTTTACAGTCATAGATTGAATTCCATATCAGTTTCTCCACTATTTATTTTGATTTAATTTCAAAGTAATGGATGTACTATTCTGCATTCATCGTGCTGGTCTTACTGAATGTTTATATGAAAATATCTCCTCTTGCCTTCTAGAGTTTCTCTGGTGTTCTATGAGAAAACAACATTGTAAATATGAACACCTTACTAAGACTGATGACGCTGTTCCCCCTTATATTGGAAATGTAAATCAGCATAACTGTAGTAGAGAGTATTCTATTGATCAGATTTAACTCATGTTTTCAGGGCTTTCTTTGTCATTGTGGCCAAAATTCAGTTTTTCCTTAACTGGAAGCTAAAGTAATTACTTGATGGCAGAAGAAGGAATTCCAGGAATGGATCAGAGATATGATACTTCCAAGTATCTGCATTTTGCAGGACATTAGCAAGGCCAAGATTAAATTTGTCTTCTGATGTTCTAAAATGCATTTTGTGGATTAAGTCTGTGATTTATAGATCACAAAATGATGAC